AACCATTTTAATAAACTAATACATGTGAGAGTATTCGTTGAAACAAAAAGCAGTTTTAGTGGACAGTGTTATACTACATTTGAAAATCAAGGAGAAGTTTATGCAACTTAAAATGTTTACAAACTGCAATGCAATCTACTGTTTGTGAATGTCAAAGTATTATGAGTAAAAGTATCTATACAATCACAGAGTTATATTTCCTCACAAGGTTCTTTACAAAGAGTGAAATGTGTTTTTATACCTCTCAGTTTCAGTTAGAGGCATATTTTGTGCCATATTTATGTTATGTGTCTATACAGGATGAATGAATTATTTCAGTCATACATTGCCTAAATCATAACTTCATGATACTTGGGAAAGAATCAACAGTTAAAACTTCATGAAGTTCTAATATCTGTGTTCCAAAATACATCACAGTATTAGGATGTAGGGAGAGATGTATGTGCGCTCCCTGGGGTGTGCAATTCTAGTTTACTAGACCATCTGTATTTTTAGCATTTGGCATCCTCATGATACTTTTATAAATATGACATTAATAGGAGAGCAATAATATGATTTTACAGATGAAATAACAGATTTGCCTGCATTCACTGAAAGAATGCAAATATTGGTCCTTCAACTGACTCTTCCAAATTGTATGAATTTATCAACGTATTGGATAAACCCAGTTTCAGAATGATAAAGAAAAACTGTTAGACCAAATAGTGTGGCTAATTAACAGTGGTACGGTTTCAAATACCACTCTTTATGTAGGAATTTTGGCCTATGTTTCAGAAAAAACTAAAAAGAATGGAAATCCTATGACAATAACAAGTGTTTCTTCAAAGCATGCAGTCTTTGCAATACCTCATTCAGCCAAGTATTTGTTCTCTTCCTCATTCAGTATAAGGCAGCTTTCAATTTGCTTAGAAGGCAACATTAGGTTAGAGATCATCAGAAATATAAAATTTGAAAATGTGAGTTCAACTGAATAAATTTGAATTTCTGTTAGAAGAATCAAAATACCTATTTAAAGATTGCAATATATGGTCATTATTTTTAAAGTTTTTGATTAAACCTGATAGGTTTTCCAGAAAT